AATTGAATTGAATGATCATTAAAAATAAACAAAAGATCAGAAGAATTAGAATGGTTATCAATGGAATGTGTCCATCGTTCAAAATCCTAATATAAACTCATGAACAAAGATTCGTTGACTTAAAGACGTGTGTATCGGACTGATTGTAAGTCACAGCAACGCGTAGCGAGGCACCCCTAATATTATATAGAATCTTTATGAAATGATTAACACAAATGAATATTTTAATTATAAAAAAACGTTTCCATTTGCAAGTATCATTAATCCTTTCAAAAACGATAGAAAACTTTGACGCAATAAGCAAATATTTATTCGTTCTCCAAAGTAATAACAAAACGTATCGATCGTAAAATTTTCAAGCCACAAATGAAACACTACAAAAAAAGCTGCTATATATATATATATATAGAGAGAGAGAGAGAGATAGAGAGGACCCAGACGACTCGTACAAATACCTATATAAATATACATATTGACATCGAAGTGCTGACTCGACGGTGCAGTTCATTCGAGCATCATCCTCCTCGATGCATCGACTGTATTTTTGAGACAAATGTAACAAAAAATACAAAAATAAATAAAACAAAAAAAAAGCAAACAAAAATCACCACCACTATTAGAGAGAGAGAGAGAGAGAGAGATAGAAGGACTACCCTCAAACTCTTGGACAAACCAACAAAAATATTCGACAATTGAACGAAGTTGCGATCGTTTTGTCGATACCATCAATGTTTTCAGGTCGTCACGATATATATATATATATCTGCAACACAAATGGAAGTAAAAAAGAAAAAGAGAAAGAGAGAGAAAGAGAGAAAGAGAGAGAGAGAGAAAATAAAACTGGGAAACATTTTGGAACAGAAAACCGAGGGACGTTCGTCGTTTATACGAAATTGGCCGGAAAGGACGAGAAGAGTACATATGTAAGTATATATATGTATATGTATATATATATATATAGGTGGAATTGTGACGAATAAAAAGTTACCGCGTGAAGAATAACAGGTGGAAAATGTGTCGTCCAAAGTTACACGCAGTAGGTACCTATCACCAATATCATGATGACTCAATCAAATATCGAATGAATTTTTTCTATTTTTTCTAGTTTTTTTTGGTTTTGTTTTATTTTTATTTCTAGAATATAAAACAAATCCCCGAAAGGAAGAGGAAAATGATACATACATACCTTCAGGTTTCGATCGAAATTTAACATCGGTTGTTTATTTCGATGTACAAACGTTTAAGGGAATTGCAATGGAATGTTGGGTAAGGAGGGGAAAAAACAAGAGATAAAATTACAAGGAAAGAGAGAGAGAGAGAGAGAGAGAGAGAGAGAAATAAATATCAAAGAGAGAACTGGTATAAGAAAGAAAGAAAGTTAAGAAAATTGAAAAGTAGAGTAAAAGAAGAAAGCTTTATAAGGCATATAAAAAGATAGAAAAAGAAGAAACTTAGAAGGAGAGTACAACACACAAGAAAGAGGAAGGATAAATAAATATAAAACGAGAGTGTGGGGGAGAGAGAGAGAGAGACGATCGATTTTGGGAAAGTCAGTCTGTTAGAAAAGAAAATAGCTGAATCCGGTGAAGAGATAAACAATGTGGGTTTAGGTAGAAAGGAAAAAGATAGAAGATGTCAGTGTAGTCATTCTTTTACCAAATGCATCGGTGCACGTGCATAGCACACAGGACGACTATTGTGGTGGGTTGAACAGAAACAAGGCTGGGACCCAAGGAAAGAAGAAGAAGAAGAAGAAGAAGAGATAGCAGGGGTTGCGTCAGGGAAAGCTTGAGGATTGGTTAAAGAAAGGGAGAAGGTATCGATAAAAAAAAAAAAAAAAGAGAGAACCCTTCTCTTTTTATTTTCTTGCATTTTTCAACGTCTCTGACCGAATGGAGAAACTCCCTCGAAATTTCACGATCTACCTGCATGCATACATGCACACATAGGTACACACACACACGCACACACATACATGGGTTTCTTCTTTTATGTTATATTTAAAATTTATTGAAAAATCAATCGGCTAGTGGAATTTTTTTCGAATTTTTTTACAACGTCTACTTGAAACGATAAAAAATATTGTGATTATTTATTTTTAAGACTTTTTTCAATTTTATTGTTATATTTATTCGAACCCATTCACGAAAATATCTTGCCAAATTAATATCTTACCTATTCTTTATGAGACCAATCGTATACCTAAATAAAAAGAATTTAATTCGAAAAAATTAGTTTTATTGTAATAAGAACTTTTTGGTGGGAATGATGAAAATCTCTCGTGGGAAATAAAACGCATATCTTTGATAAAACGAATAAAATGAAAGTATAAGTAAAATGTTATGAAATTCACCAAATGTATTATATTTTACAAAAATGATATTAGAAAAAAGACACACACATTGAAATTAATGAAATAATATATAAAAAAGTTAATATAACTAAATGATCTTTAATTAAATAGCCCGTTGATGAATCAAATTGGATAATTTAGAAATAATATTTGAAGAAGATCTGTGAAATTATTTTCAAAGATAACTAGAAACTTGAAATATCTCGCGTGTACATTTATTGACCTGTCGATAAAATCGTTTAAATTTTCAGTTTAAATCGAAATTTTCAAATATTGTAGCAAACACCAAAATGAATACATACACGCATACTCGAGTTTTCTTTGAGTTTTATCGTCAAATGTGGTCTATAAATCGAATATTATTATGTGGTACACATTCGATTGAAACGTAAATGTTTAACAGTTATCAAATATTTCATTTATTTATTTAATACCAATACTGTTCGATATTTATTTCAAATAATAATTATATATACATATTTTTAATTATTTCCGTTCTAACAAACTTTTCAATGATAAGTTGAGTATTAAAATAATTACGAATCAGTTCTATTCAACATTTCTCGTTGCATAGAATTTTCTTTTTCTAGAATAAGTTAAAACAAAAATGTAAAACAAACGAATGCAAAGCAGTGCTTTCGTAATCAGATCGTTTGGTAGGTACTTTATTTCCCAGAAAATTAGAGTCACCCTTGCATGGAATAGTGGTGCATTCTCTTTCTATCTATCTCTATCTATCCCCATATACATATATATATATACACACATACACACATATACATATGCAAAAATATATAGAAATAAATAGCATGCACGTATCTCTCTGGGTTGGCATTTCACGTAGGTGCAATAAGTGTTTAGGTATGTAAATAAATACGTTGAGAATCGTGAATAGTAGGTGTTAGTGTGGGTTAAAAGCACATATACAGGAGAAGACGAATAGTCGCTTGGAGAAGCATTGTAATCCTGTCGTTACGACCGTAATCCTTTCAGCGAAAGAATTGGCTCGAATTGTCTGGACATTTAAACGCAACTCGAAATAACAGGATTTTCATGGGAGCCTCCTAATACTGTTTTCTTTGTTGTTGTTGTTCAAGTAATGGCCACCTTGATGATACCCTTTAATTAGAATACTTAATTCTACTTTAGACAAGATCGTGAGATCACTCAAATTCATTCATTATTCTCTCTCTCCCTCTCTGTTGATTTTTATTTTTAGTTTTTCTTTGTATTTAATTATTTTAGGATATTCTTTATACGACAGACGATGCAAAAAATGTCTTATCTAAAAATCGTGCCTGTGGGCTACGTTGAAAGATTTACGCGAAAATCGTCTTAGCTCTCTCTCTCTCTCTCTCTTTTAAAGGTTGCATCAAAAAACGATTTATCCTTGTAAAGTATAAAGGACGAACGAGTAAAAAATTATCCCCAGAAACCGATAGAAAGACCTGCTGTTGCTGCTGCTGCTGCTGCTGCTGCTGTTGCTACCGTGTTACGATTTACAAATTTTCTTTCTAAACAACTTTCCAAGAGTTATACGTTTTATTTTCTTTTTTTTAATCGATCCAACAATTTCATTTTCAATCAACGTTTTACGTTTAATACTGGTTACGCATTTGTAAATGTTGCAATATTTTTTCTTACTTTGATTATTTTTCTAATGTCAATTTCCGTCCCATCTTCTCTCTCTCTCTCTTATCTTTTCTATCTTTAAGTAATACGTAATCTCGTATGCGTATATAGGATAAGAGAAAAAAAAGAGAAAAGAAAAGAAAAGAAAAGATAAGGAGGAGGATATTGCATGCAGGAAGCAACAAGATGAAAATTTCATATCAGCTCAGCTCTTCTCGCACTTTTAAGCAAGAATCGTTCAAAGTCGTGATTCGACAAAGCAAAGTTAAAATGCGCGTGAAAAAGCGACTACACAACGAGTAAGATGTACCTTCTTACAAATTTATTATTGAATCAAATTTCTTAAACACCTTATATATTCCCTTTGTCTTTTAAAATAATCTAAAGCTTTGACAAATCTTAAAATGACAAGAACATTATTTCAACGCATTACCAACCAAGTTTCATTATTTTCTAATCACCAATATAATAATTCTTTAATAATAGTTTTTTTTATATTTCAAGTTTAATTAATATTAAATGAATCATTAAAAAATGAATATAATTGCATAATGTTGATTTTAAAAGTGGAATATCTTGAAACTAAATTTACTCGATTTCCAGATGATCATCGAAGGTTCAGTTGCCTTTCGCATAATTTAGCAACATTAATAATAGGTGAATTGTCCGTACTAATAGACGTTTCAATTAAAGATTAACGGGACCGATATAGGAATTAGTAGAAGTCGAACTAATGAACAATTTAATTCTACGGGACGTTTCGAATCTTCGATTGTAACTTTTTCTTATTGTCATTTTTCTTCGTTTAAGGAAGTTAATTAAATTCATGGAAATGATGTTAGCTCGAATGAAAATATCAGTCAGACACGAGAGACGAATGAAATACTTTGAAAAAGAAGTTTCTAACAATTTTCTATTAAATATAACAATTAATCATTGATGTGATAATTGTTTGAAAAATGAATAGCAAAGTTAATGTTTTATGTATTTATATATGTATATATATATTTTACAGGAAACAAATTGATCTGCGACTGTAATCTTGCATGGCTGTGGGGTTTAAGGAACGAGACGAAGAATGCAAAGTTACGAAATGCCCTAGAGGAGCTTATTTGTTTCCTCGAAAGTAATAATACAGCACTAAAGATCAACACCGAGGATCTAGAGAGGAATCAGGAACTCGAGATCGCGCGAAATTCTGGTAAATTTCACTTATTCTTATATTCTATTCCTTACCCTCACATATATCAGTTTAATACTCCAACCATATACGAAGGGTGTCCTAAAAATGAAACGAGAGACCAAATCAAAGTTACGTATCCTTTACACATTTGAATTATTTTCATCATGCAATAATTGAAAAAGTCTTTGATAATTTTCTCATTTTCATTTCTTGTCCTTTCTCAAAGATGATACGAAGCCAAGAAATGGAGAAAACAGACAGACAGATAGAAAATAAGTGTGAGAAAAGTAGATATATGGGTCTCGAAGGTGATCAAAAGTTTCAAACAATTTCCCTTACTCCTTCCCCCCCCCCCGTCTTCCTCTCAGCGCACCCTTTTATAAGTTTCCTTAGTTTGAAAGGTTCTCTTACACCGGGTGTCTCATTTTATTTAATATAACCAAATATCTACGATTCTATTCGTCTTATGAACAAATAGTTTCGAATAAAAGTTCCCTGTGTTAGATAGGAAAAATATTTATTGCTGTTCTTTTCATATAGTACTTTCTTGTCGAGATATACAATTTATGAACGATGCTCATTATTATTAATATTAATGATAAATAAATGAATCGATTGATCAAGAAAAGATTGAATATCATGTATCATTGAAAAGAATGAAAAAATTCGCGTTAATAAAATGTCTATTAATATTGTTTAAAATGAGTCACCCTGTACACCACAGTGTCCCAGATAATCTGTTTCTTCTTGTGGCACGTGAAATATTAAAGTTAGCAAACTGTAGTTAAATAGCGTTATAGGGTAACAAATTATGTCTTTGCGGAGATGCTCAAAAGATTTTTTTCACTTTAACCAAGAAGAATTACGATGAGCAACTTTATTGTTTTAAACGCAAAACAAGTCCCAGTTTGTTTGCATTATTCTTCCACGTGAAAACGTGGATTATTACATTTGCGTTTAAATTCATTTATTATCGTCAATGTGGTCTTGCAAAATATTGAAGTATGAAAAAATGGAGTATTGGTACTACCACCTCGTTAATTCAAAATTAAAGATGCAATTTGTATTTGTCTTTGTTCATTTATTTAATACACGTTAGAAGGAAAAAACAATGTATTATCCTTTAGGACACCCTTTATATAGAAATACCTTACGTATATACGCGTGCGTCTGTATATGTGTTTTTAGATTCATATTTGGCTGATAATTTGAAAATAGGAAATAAGGAAGACGAAGACAACTACTTAGGTGACGTGGCTAATGAAAGTTATGAAAATTTGGGTGAAGAATATGAGGATTCCTCGTTGGATAGTAATTCCCAGCCTAAGGTAATAGTTTCTAAGTAAATCGTAGTCTATGTTCCTTCTTCTCACTCTCTCTCATACTCTTATACAAACGTCGAGGAGAGATAGCAAATTTAAATTAAAAGCGATTAGGTTGATCCTTGTTTCATTATTTAAATGAAGATAGTATTAAAGTAGAAAGAGACACGTATGTATAACGAACTCATTATGTTTGGAGTTACTTTGACTCGACGTTAATATTATTTCCTCTTTGTTGCCTTCGCGTGATTTTAAATCAACTTTGTGATATTATTTTCTGTTTTTTTTTGTTTTTGTTTGTTTTTTTGTTTACTAAAATAATATTAAAACAGAAAAGAGTTAAACATATTCTAATTATTATTAACTTTAATGGAATTATAATTTTGTTTATATTTTAACTAACTACTATCGTATTACTGTAACTTAGTACAAGGCGTGTTGAAATTGTACAATGAAATAATAATGTCCAACGAAAAAGTTGTAGATTTTTAACGAAACGAATATTCTTCGCGTACACTGTCGCATTTTGTCGAATGTTCGCAGGTGCAGATATTAGATGGGAAGGTGTGTTACGTGAAGCATTTGTTCGATCTAAAGTTGGAAGATCTACCATGCCCTGAGACCACAAGGGAGGATCTAATGGCTTCTGAGCAACCATCCAGTCGTCACGAGAATGCACCAGTGGGTTCCTCCGGTTCCATATGGTTTACATCTTCGGCGCAGACTCTACGAGTCAACCAATTTGTCGTCTATGCTAGTTCACTTATTCTATTCATTCAAATAGTTATCTTTACCTTTTCAACGTAGAAGGAAAAAGATGAGAATATTTTTTTTTTCCCACCAGGCACCAACGATTCATAAACAGAGAAAAATACAGAAGGAATTCTAATTATTCTAGAGTGGGACTACTATACCATGGAATAGTATGGTGTAACAACAAGAAAATTCTATCAAAATCTATATAGGAAAATTTTCCATTATTCAAAATGCGATGATATTATATATATATATATATATATCTCCTATATCTCACCCCCCCCCACCCCCACTCGTTCGACGATATTCGTAGTTCCAATTCCTTAGATTAAATTGTTGCTCGGCTTTTTTGAGCTTGCTTCGTAGATCTCTCTCTCTCTTCTCTAGCTGTTTTTTTTGTTTCTATTTTATTTTGTTTCAAGTAAGAAAAGATAGATGCTTTGCGAGAGAACAAGGGAAAAAGAGGAAGACAATAAAATGAAATACAGAAAGGAAGGAAGGAAGGAAGGAAGGAAAGAAGAGAGAGAAAGAGAAACTTTCTTATTTTTATCATGCTGTGAAAGGAGATAGAAATTAGTTTAATTCTAATGCTAATTCCATAGCATTTTTAACGTAAAGGTAGAAGAAGAAGAAGAAGAAGAAGAAGAAGAAGAATAGAATAGAATTTCTCAAAAACAAAAATCCCATGAATTTGCAATCGGTAATGCGATTGCAATCGTATTTGGAATAATAAACGAGATAATTCGTTCACGATAACGTTATCAGAAAATAAATTAAATGCATAACATAAAAAAAAAAAACGTCGATCGATATTATTATATATATATATATATATATAAAGTACAGTTGAAAGAGAAAATTACGATCAAATACGATCTCCTATCGCGTGTCGAAAATAAAAAATACAAAAAAAAGAATAAAAAAATAAAAAAATAAAATAGGAAGAAACATTTGCGAATTATCCGAAACACGCGAAAAGCAGAAAAAAAAATAGAGATGGTAATTTTTGGATTTTGTATTTCCTGGTGAACGTTAAAATTCCTTTTTCTCGCTCGTCGGTTCCTCGACGTTTCGTTTTAGCTTCCCCACGTCGATCGTAATCGAACTATAATACATATTACATGCGGAACGTCCAATGAATAAATTAGCATGGTTAATGAGCGAGAATAATGTCGCATGGTTTCAACCGACGACATGCGTTCATCTAAATTTCCGCGTCTCTACCTGTGCACATGTTTCTCTCTCTCTCTCTCATACTCTCATACACACATACATGCGTTTATTCATTCATTCGTTAACTCTCTCTCTCTCTCTCTCTCTCTCTCTCTTTCTCTCTCTCTCACTCACTCACTCTTATTCTCTTACTCTTTCTCTCTCCATTCACCTTTGTCGAGTTGATTCGCACACGACGAGCGTGCACGAGCTATTATTCGCTAATTACACGTCAGACAATCCAGAGTAAAAACGCGAAGAGTCACCATTTCTCTCTCTCTCTCTCTCTCACACACACACACTCTTTACCTTTCTCTTTCTCTTTCTCTCTCTGTGAAAATGCGTTAATATACGCGTATATATCTGGTATATCTGTGCGTTGGTACAAGAAAGTAAAGTAAAGTAAAATGAAAGAAAGAATTGGAAGAAAAATCTCATGAAAGAAAAGAAATAGAGAGATAGGGAGAGAGAGAGAGAGAGAGAGAGAGGGGTAAAGGAAAATGAAAAAAAAAGATAAAATGATGAAGATAAAAGATTAGGAAGAAACGATAGGTATACATAACGAGTTAGGGTCTCTCGAGATTCACCGAAAGTACCGGTAAAAGTACCTTTTTAACATATTACGGACAAGACGTTTTTAACATTGAATATTTATTAATATTATAATATTATAATGATTTTTTTGTCGTTAATAATTTGTAAGTGATCGTCCAGTTTTTGTGAGACTCTTTTTTGTAATATTATTTTTACTTCTTATTAATTACTATTTAATATTAAATAATTTAAAAAACTTAATCACATATTATGAATATATATATATATATATATATAAATCGTATTTATAATTATTCTCGATCAAATTTAGGGATAGGTTTTTATTTTGTAATATTTTCATATTAATAATCGTATATTAATGACTAATTAAAAAAAAATCTATGTGTGTTTACACTTTTTTTATTAGTATCATAATTCACGCTATTATTATTATATTGCTTATTAAATTTTCAGTATTGATGAATAATTGATTAATTATAAAATGATTAAAGCAATAAAATGAAGAATATAGATTTTCGTCATCCGTCCGTAATGTGTTAGCGAACGAAGAAAAAAATGTAAAAAAGTAAAGAAAAGAAAAGAAAAGAAAAGAAAGAGAAGAAAATTAAAATAATAAAAGATATAACTTGAAAAGTTATACGATTTATTGTATAATATTTATAATAATAACATAAAACACGCGCGCGCGCTATTTATCGTATTAATACCAAAAATATCATGCACCGTCATTTTCTTATTAAATATATATATATATATATATATATATATAGATATATACTTAAATATTTTAAGCTTCTATAAGTGAGTGCCATCTTAGAATGTTAATTAACTTATTTACATTAAAACGCAATCTTACGAATCTAATTCGATAACAACAATTCGCGTAATTGTTCGAATAACAAACAAACAAATAAACAACAAATAATCTCGGTATAACCAAGCAGAGGGATGAAAAAAAAAAAAAAGAATCAAAACGAAAAGAAGATAAATCATTGATGATCAAATAAATTGAATGACCCTTATAGGTGTGTATTTCTACATGCAAATCATCCTTTTTCTAACTTCTCTAATCATTCTGCTTGCGATAATCATATTTAAGAAAAATCAAATAAAATAAGAAAACAAAAAAAAGATAAAAAGGTAATTAATTAATTAACAATGACGATGATTGTTCGTGTCGAGTAACGTGGAACACCTTAGACTACTAGAACCCTTTAAAACCAACACCCTATCCTTACACCCTCTTTAAAACCCTTTTTCTCCTTCGAATTTTAATAAAATAAAAAATATAATAAATAAATAAATAAATAAATAAATTATCAATGATGTTGAAAATGTTTGTCATAGTATATACGTTATTATATCATAGTGTCGTGAATATAGTATGTATATACATATATATATATATAATATAAAGAGTCGATTTTTTTTTATCGAAATGTTGGTGAGACTAATTTGCGAGGACACAAAAAAGTGATTTCCAATGGTTACAAATAAAACAGGAGAATTGTTATATTATTTATATAACTGAACACACACACATCTCAATGATGCATATAATATAAAAAAAGAATACTAGAAGGCAAAGATCTAAAGAAAAAAAAAAAAATAGGGCGAAGAAAAGGGATGAAAAGGAAGTTGTCAGAGAAAAGCTCGACAAAAAAAAAAAATGAAAAAAAATGAAGAAAAAAAAGTAACCAACGAAGCTAGGTTTACATAAGCTTCTATGTTTGATACAACGAAGTCTTTTTCTCATTCCACCATTCTACTCTAGGATTAAACTTATCCCTCTCTCCTCTCCCTTTCCTTCCCTTTCTATATGCATGTTCGATGTAAAATAGGGACGAAAAGGTAGAGAAAAATAATAAGGTAAAGAAATTCTTGCACCCAGTATTCACCAACATTTCGATGAAAAAGAAAACAAAAAAAAACGATAACGTTTGTTGCGCTAGAGAAAGAAAAAAAATATCAGCTTTAATATATAATTAATAATAAATAATTCATTCATTGAAATATGGGTAAGCAAAGTCTATGGTGTACCATGTTAAACTCATCGTCAATTTTTTTATGAAAAAATCGTACTCTCCCTTTTCCCTCTCTCTCTCTCTAAATCTCTCTAAATCTCTCTGTCTATATCAGGAGTCGGCAACCTGCGGCTCGCGAGTTAAAAGAGTTTAGCAGGATTAGGAGGTACCGATGAATAGATAGATTAGTTTTTTTTTTTTTTATCCAAATACTAACTTTATTTATGCGAGTA